ATTCAAACCAAGCCTTTCATTTATTTAATTTAATTATTACTTTTTTTTTATTTATAATTATTATTAATTATTAATTATTTTCCCGTTTTATATTCCGATGAAGCTCGAAAACTGAACCGTGATGGCGAGCAACGGCACCAATACGACGTCGTCTAGGTTTTCGTTTCTCAACCGCTCCCTGACGACGGTTAGCAAGGAAAAGCCGCCGCAAAAGCCGCCGCAGCTGGACCGTTCGCTCACGAAGTTCGTGGCATCCGCGCGCGGCGGCGTCGTGAAGAGGCTATGCAATTTCTTCGAATCGCCGAAGCCTTCGTCCTCGGAGTCTCCCAAACTCAGAGGCTCGAAATCGATCGAAAACTCCGATTCTCCGACGAAACCGCTCGATCCGGCGGCGAAATCGGTGGATTCCGCGTCGGTGATTCGGCTGCCAGGCACGGAGGATCGGATCGTGTTGTATTTCACGAGTCTGCGAGGGATTCGGAGGACCTACGAGGATTGCTACGCGGTTCGGAACATATTTCGGGGATTTAGGGTTTGGGTGGACGAGCGCGACATTTCGATGGACGCGAATTACCGGAAGGAGTTGATGAGCGTGTTGGGGGAGAACAACAAGAGGAAGGGACACGTGGCGCTCCCTCAGGTGTTCATAAGAGGGAGACACGTGGGCGGCGCTGACGTCATCCGGTACATGTTCGAGGTTGGGGAGTTGGCGAAGGTTCTGGAAGGCTTGCCGCGGACCAAGGGAGGGTTCGTGTGCGAGAGTTGCGGGGATGTGAGGTTCGCCCCGTGTGGGAATTGCAGTGGGAGTAGGAAGGTGTTTGATGAGGATGAAGGGGTGTTGAAGAGGTGTTTGGAGTGTAACGAGAATGGCTTGATTCGGTGTCCTAATTGTTGCTCTTCTTGAAGTTTTCAAGGAGGAAAAATATAATGAAAATCCTTGGTGTGCAGTTGTTGTTTGCATAAAACTTATATCTAGTTCTTTGGGTGTTCGCCGTGTTGTTGTCTAATCTGAATTGGAGTTTTACCTTCTGGCATTGAGATTGTTGGTGTAAACTCCAGGATTTGGTGTTTTCAGTTATATGGTCAGAATTGAAGATTCATGTGTGTCATGAAGGTTTGTATTGGAGAAGATTAGTGTGGGTTGTCAAAGTGAAACTCTAATTGTGATCGGAGAATGATACTAAAAGCATGTAGTAGGCACTTTTTTAGGTGTGGGGGTGTGTGTGGTTTGAAGAAGGTGGGGGTGTTTGGATGGAGTGGGTTTGGTTAAGGTTATGTGGTGATTCAAAGCACTCTTTGAATTTTTTTTATGGGTGTTTTGTTTATGTGTTATGAGCTGATGGTTTCTTTGTTCGGCTCCTACTTGAACTGCATTTTGTTCAAGAGTGTGATCATACATAAAAAATAAAAAATACCAGATGGGTTTGAGTAAGATGATGGTTGTAGTTCATTCACAGTACTGAGGAGTGTTTCTCCGCAAGGCAATGTAAATATTCAGTGTTCTTATCAAATGGATTTGCAAATATTGACCATTAAGGTTTATATTGAGAGTTTGTGAAATATTTGAGTATGATTTATGTGTTTGTTAGTGCTTTTTTTCTATTTAATTGTTTCTGGCTGTGTTTTCTTTTGTTTAACTTTTGATGTGATGGCATATAGGTTCCGAATTGCTTCAATTCAGCATGTCAAAATGCGAAAATGGCACGTGTCTGTGAGAAATGTGTTTCTCGGTGGGGACAGGATTTCTCTTCGGGGCAATTGAAATATTTGTTCCTGTGATCACGATGATTAGCAAATAACGGCCATTGATTTTATAATGATTCCTGGTTTCTGTTATTCTTATATAAGTTCCTTGATTTTGTGCCTTTATTTTATCATATCTCCATGTGCAAATGTGGTCGTAATATTAAATTTCCGTGGGGTTTTGGCAATGACTGACTCTGATGCTTTGTGAACTTCAAGGTCAGTTCATGCCATGTTATGTTGATTTTGCTGTTGTTTTCCAACACCTTGACCCTCTATTGATCCAATGAAATTTAACCGGTGATCAAAACTGATAAGATATTGACAAAGAATGTTAATAAAGCTGAGTGCACTTGTCTTTGTTTCAGAAAAATGTTAGTATTTTCTCGATAAATTTTGGGATTCGAATGGCTAACATATTCATTCAGAGTAATGTGGGTGCATTATATGGCTAATTAGATGCTATTGAATTTAAAGAGAAACCCAAAGAAAGAAGGGAAAAGACCATAAGAAGTTGAGAACAATAGTTCCTTGCAATATTCGTGCCTTTGACATGTTCCAAAGAAGATTCTGCAATACCAATGTAATATTGAGTCTTTGTTTTGTCACCTTATCCATTTACCCCTCAAATTAACAATTATGGTGGAATATATGTGGCACCCTCTTGATGTTTATCGAGGATTCAAAGGTTTTATTTTATTTTCCATGTTTGATGCTGGTGGTATAGGTACAAGATTGTTTTCCTTATTTCCATGATAATATCAAGAGGAAGATGTGGCAACTAATCCATAGCTGAAACGGTAGAGCGAAGACCAAAAGAATTAATAATACTATCATTTCTAGTTTAACTATTCTAAATAGGTTTTTGAGTTTATGATGTGAATTTTACCCGAACTTGTTCTTAATTTCTTTTGTTATTCCTCTCTCATTTGAAGTATTTGTTCGGAGTTCTCGTTCGATCTTCCAGTTATCAAAAATTACGAGTGTCCCCTTAGACAGGTATAATTATCATTTTTATTTTTATTTCTTTTGATTGGAGAGAAATGTAAAAAATTATCATAGGAATCTAGTTCTATTGGAACAAAGTGTCTCGATTGTTGTAAATTTTCTTGATGTGGAATTCAATTTTCATAGATATAAAAGAGAGATGTGTAAGCACTTAAAATGAGTGTCAATTACTTCTTTCACACGTGAATATTTATTTATTATTTAAATTAATTTGTGAATGAAAAAATGTGGATAGAAAAGAAGGTTTTACTAGAATAGTTATACCAAAACTACATATCAATAACATTGTCACATAATAGTTGTTTTTTTTTTTTTAGATTTTTAAATTAGTATCTTTACTTTGAAATGAAGTAGTTAGCTTATACATGATAAACATTTATTTTTATATAATTAAAATTTATAATAATTAAATTTTTTAAATATATAATAAACAATTTAAACTATAATTTTAAATTATTATAACCATTAATATTTTTTAAAAAATTTAAATAAAATTTAAAAATAGAAATAAAAGAATATATATTACAAGATAGGAAAGTAAGAATTAATATACAAGTCATCAATTTGAGATAAGAGATATTCTTGTATAGACACGTATATTAAATAAAAATTAAACCAAAATATTAGGTTAGAAAATAGTAAAGAGCTAAAAATATACTTAAAAAAAGTGAAAACAGAGAAAAAAAACGTGATTATCTCCATTAAGCACAATCACATATTGGGCAGCCCCCCACTTTTTTTCCTTTTATTTTTGAAAACTAATATATATATATATATAACTTTTATATGTATAAAAAATATCTTTATATTATAAATGATAATCAACACTCATTATTTTAAATATATTTACGATTTTTAAGTATTTATTATAATATTATTGACTAAATTATATTTTTAGGATTTAATTTAATTTAACTATTTTTAAAATTTTAATTTGGTCCTATGATTTTAAAATATGTTTTATCTTTATGTTGAAATTGACACTAATGTCATTAATGAAATTAGATGAAAGGATAATATTGAACAATTTTTGTTTAAAATTAGATGATTAAATTGAACATTTTAAAAATAATGAGATCGAATTGAACATTTTAAAAATAGTAGGACTAAATGAAATAAAAAAAAATTCTCATTTTTTTTGTTTAGATAAATTTGAATTTTCTTTTACTTATGTTAACAAGATCATGAATGATAATAAATTGAATACTTGTTCAATTTTAAATTTATCTAGATAAAAAATATTAGATAAATTTTTGTTCAATTTAGTCCTGTATTTGTGAAACGTTCAATTTAGTTTCACTATTTTTAAATGATTTTAAGTTGGGCCTTTAATTTTCAAACAACATTCAATGTTGTTCTTTCATTCAATTTCATTAACATTAGTATGAATTTGGACGGAAGAATAATATTGAATATTTTTTAAAATTAAAGGACTAAATAGAACCATTTAAATATAGTGGAATCAAAATGAATATTAAAAAAATAAATAGAAAAACTAAAAATATAATTTAGTCTAATATTATTATATAATTATTATAAAAAAAATATGTAATATTTTAAATATTATAATGTTAAAAGATAATTATTTTAAATATAATTATATTATGAATTTTAAATACACCCACATATTACAAAGAGTGCAATTTAATATTACTAAAAATAACCTAAATATAAATTAGTGTATATCTCTAATTATTCCAGGTGTAGTTGTCATTCACATAAACAATCTCGATTAAAATGGTATTATTTATGTAAAATATAATATAATATATTAAAACTATAACAAAATATAATTATTTTTTTATTGAACATGCATTAACAAAATATACATTAAAATAGTTATCTCTTAATAACAATAAAATAATATTTTAATAAATATTTAAAATATCATAAATATCTTTAAAAGAATAAATATTAGTTAATATTTATAAAAATAATTATATCTATTATAATTTTCAAACTAATACAAAGTAAATAAAAATAATATTACTATTACTAGGTTTGATTAAAAAACATGCGAGAAAGAAATAGAAGGCAAGCTGAGTCGGAAAAAAAGTGGGTTAAAATATTTTTCAAGGTAATACTTAATTTTTTTAGTTTCTATAATTTAAAATAGATATTTTTAATTTTATATTTATTTTTTTAATCTTTTTTTAAGTTCCTATAATTTAAGAAAGATATTTTTATTCTTATATTTACAAATTTTTAATCTTTTAAAGTCCTTATCATTATTTTTTTTTAATAATATTATCTGTGTTAACATGATAGAGATCTTCAAGTTTGTGAGAATAAAAAAATAGTGTCTCGACTTGGTCTTTTAGACTAGGTCTTATTTTATATTTTGACTTGGTCTTCAAAAGATAATATATTTTATCTTATGACTTGGTTAAAGGTGGTTTTGAGAAACAATTTCTTTTTATTATAAATATAAGATTCTGAGGATACATCTCTACACACATCTTTTCTTGATTATATCATGAGTCTTATGGGTTATTCTCACTTAAGAAAACTTGTTAGTTCTATTTCCTCAATTTTTAATTGGGAAGAACCTGTTATATCCTGGGAGACTTGCGCATCACGCGGATAAGTCCTTAAGGACAGTGCTATCACACGTCTCAGGTTATTGTTAATTTTTTTTGATCGTATAATTTCCATATTAGATAGAGGATTCCTGTTCGTGATAGATATGAAGATGGACAACAATGTACAACAATCTTGAGGACTTATGTTGTCCATGAAAATCTCTTTGGGATTTTGTAATTTTTGGATTTGGTTTCTTTCACCGGCAAAGGTGGTGCAAACCCTAATTTTTGAAATCAGATAATCAATCCATGAAATAAAAAATGGATCGGGGAACACTAACAAAGGTCTTTCAGGAATCGGAAGCCGGACGACAAGAAGAAGGAGAAGAAGTTCAAGTCGCCGGCAGCGCCGACTTGCGTGGGGTGAAAGCAGCAGAAATAAAAGGGTTTGGAGGCGGCGACGCGGTTGCCAACGATGATGCCGCTGTTGAAGTGCAAGCTGCCGCTCTTGAAGCAACAAGCCTTTCCAGGCTTAACAGCAAGTGTTTTTTCAACGAAGCCTCTCCAGGCTCATACACTAAGTATTATTTCAAATAAGCCTTTCTAGGTTCACATTAAGTATTCTTTCACACAAGCCTCTTCAGGCTCAACCCTTACAACAAAGGTAATGGATGATTACGAAATTGTTCAGTATCTTCTAGACATGATGTAATCAACAATGAAAGCACAAATAATCTACAAAGAAATATGTATAAGATTTACAATAAATGTTTCTTTGTAGTTTTTCTGCTCTGTATATTTTTGTACGCTTCACTATACAAATTTCTCGATGTGTATCACTTCTATCTCTTCTATTCTCTATATGTCACTTTCTTCATTGTTTAAATACTTGATCCTTTTATAGTAGCTTCAAAGAAGATGACCATTGCGAAAATTTTGAGTTGAACTCACGATTTGTTTCATGAGTTGTTTCATCTGTCTTCTTTACTGATCCTAGAGATTATTGTTGATATATTTAATGCGAGTATTAAATGCCTTTCAACAAATCATGTATCTCTTATTTGATCTAGCATACTACTTATCATCATTTTCTTCTAAAATGAGCATGGCAAAAGCATTGTCAACGCAAAGCAATTGAAGTTGTGTAGAGTAGTCTTTTGTAGAGCCTTTTCCGTGATATTTGGGATTTAACTTTTTGCTTCTGATGGATATTTTGTCTTTTCCTTCTTTAACAGATTTCAAGAGTTCTAAAGCTTCTTTCTTGTTCGATCTATTAAGGAATAAAATATTCAAGGAAACTTAATGTTAGT